CTGTATCTAGTTTACATGTGAGTAAACTAATTGGGAATCTGAATATAAAAGTAAATAGCTAAAATAACAACATACGAATGAATTTCTCTTAAGCTTTGATAATTCTAAAAATATATTCATATATGAAAATTGATGGCTAATATGGGTATTGTTTGGATTATTCGTAATAGATTCACCGAGAAATCAAGACCCTTGCCAGTGCACATAGTGACGTCGCGTCCATTATCAACCTTGGAAAATCTCACGAACAAAGAGACATGTTGGCAATCAAGGTAACCCTTTAAATAACTAACCTACTGAGGACGGCCACAGAGACGTTGCAATTTCTATACACAAATATGTTTTTAGCATACATGCAGACAGACAGTCCATTCATTTCTGTGATTTGGCTTTTAGTTTTGGAAGTATTTGGACACAAAATCTAAGATTTCACTTCAAAGAGATGGTGGGTACCGGGTAACACCGCCCCTCCCCCCTAAATAGGGTCCCGTGAGATGACAATTGTTTTACCCTCATCCCTATACTAAATAGTACATTCAACTAATATTCTACAGATTAAACAAGGATCTGGCAGAAAAGATCTGTTTTTCTTTAACTGTGGTATTCATGCTCGAGAATGGATTAGCCCTGCAACTTGTATGTATATGATACGAAAGGTAAGTATATTACAAGCAACCCTCATTCCCACCCCCTCCCCTATATGTTTGGGTTTTGTCAGCTGATGTGGATTATTTCTTTTTTGATAGATTCTTGAAACGCGTAATAACGATGCTGATGTTCAATACATGTTGTCACGGTTTGAGTGGGTAATCTTACCTGTCCTTAACGTGGATGGATATCAACATACTCGAACAAGAGTAAGAGACTTCTCGATTGATCGGTTGATTGACTGATCGAATTCAATTAACTGATTACACTGAATCGATTGAATGATTGATTGCGGGTTGTTTTTTCAGAGTCGCATGTGGCGTAAGACTCGTAAGGCGTATGGCAGCTGCTATGGTGCTGATCCAAATCGTAACTTTAACTATCGTTGGGCTGGTATGTACACGTTATAACGAATATTACGTCAGTAGGGCTGAGATATAAATTAACTTTACTCTTATTTTCATTTATATCTATTCAGGTGTCGGTACTTCCAGTTCGAAATGCTCAGACATTTTCACAGGAAGTCATGGATTTTCGGAGATTGAAACTTACAATGTTGGCAAATACTTGTATGGACGAAGGAAAGAGTTAAAGGGATACATTGATTTTCATGCTTATAGCCAGTTATGGATGAGTCCTTGGGGATATACGAACAGTTATCCACCTCAATACGCTAGGGTAATGATTCTCTCGTCAAAACATGGGGAAATCTAGTTAATAGCTGCAATATTGCATGCATTCTCGACAACCAAGTCTATGTCTTTTATGTTCCTATTTACAATATATGTGGGTGGTTATAATTGATATAGTGCTTTTGTTATATACTCCTCATATACTACACAAGTGTGATACCCATATTGTGAATTCTTCTTCCTTGTCTCTGCGTTAATTAATGTGAGTAGGGGATAGATCAACGAATAATTATCTGGTTGGGTTATTTGTGCGTTTACAGCAAGAGAAAGCAATGAAAGCTGCAGTGAAGGCTCTTTCGGCGGTTCATGGCACTTACTATAGATATGGACCAGCTGCAATCACAATATGTAAGTATCATAGTAAAAATAGATGCTATGTATCTTCATCGTTCTTACTTTTCTTTCTTTTGATTGTGATACTAGATCCTACAACTGGTGATACAACTGACTGGACATTTGGAGTGTTGGGTGTGGTCCATTCGTATTGTGTGGAACTGAGGCCACGATCGAGTAACCCAGGTTTTATTTTGCCCCCAGATAAGATCATTCCTGTTGGCCAGGAAACTCTTGCTGGACTTAAAGCATTGACTAGAAATATGACATAATATGATGATCAGATGATAAATTAAATGATCCATTTGGCCTAAAAATATCAGTCGTTATTGTATTCGTTATTCATGCACTGAACCTGCGTGTGATAAGAGACTGGACCTGCGTGTGATAAGAGACTGGACCTG